TTTTTTTTTTTTTTTTTTTTTTTTTTTCTACGTGTGCTTTATACACCTAACGTTGCTGCTCGCTATCGCTAAACACGACACACGACGCGATGGCTCGAACGACTGGACGCCGATTCTCGTGCGCGGGGAATAAAATAGATCGAGCATTGTATGGGAGAAGATGACACCAAAATTCACCGTAACTATTTCCGTTGGAACCGAGCAGAAAATATTCCTTCGATCGATTGTTCGACTATTTTCTCTCCTCGCGTCGAACGCGATTGAAAGCTTCCACCATTTAACGGCGTTCCACCTAGCTAGATTAACTATGGACGAGTATATGGCGCTACAATCGCGTTCCAAAGGGGAGGGGGAAAAACTGATCACGCCTCGTCGGAACGGTAGAAAATATATTTTCGATCGATCGTTTTAATCTTTCTCCTCGTCGAACGCGATTGTCGAGATTGGTTCCGTTTAACGACATTGATTTCATCGTTGTAAATTATCGACGAATAGATCGCGTTCCACGAGGAAGAATCACCGTTGGAAACGTTGGTATTTACGTATAAAATAAGTCCTTGTTTTCTACTGAATTTCGTCGGCGAGCAGATGGCGCCACCGCGTCGCGTTCCACGGAGAAGCGGACCGCCACATTTCCTTCTTCGAATAACGTTCGTGCAAAATATATATTCGATACATTAATTTGTTCCTCGTGGAACGTGGAGAACGAAAGGAGAAGAATTTAGGGACGAAAGGGACGAAATGATGAATGAAAATCGGCGTCCAATGGCCCTCCCCTCAACGCGGCAAATTCTTCGCGTTTTAATAAAAAGACTTTTTAAAATTGCACGATGTTTCGCACGATGTTGGATGATATACACGCTTACAAACTAGGTAATACACCTCGGCCTCCGAAGACCGATTCCGGTTCCCAAGGGTTTCATACCCTTTTCGAACAGAATTGAACACGTCGTATATATATATATATATATATATATCCTCGAATAAATAATTTTAATCCCCGCTCGTTCGTCAGCCATCGGTAGAAGAATCGTCTTCGAAGGGACGATCCACGATAAAGGGAAGGGAGGGGGAGGGGGAGGGGGGGGGAGGTTGTAACGTTAATAACCTCCCGTTATTTTTTTTTTTCTTTTTTTTCTTCTTTTATTTCACGCTTTTATGTACTCACGTTAGAATAGAAACTCTTGCGATTTTATAGAGATGTATGTAATATATATATATATATATATATATAATTGTTCGTCTATTTACAGGAGCACGTCTAATTAGACACGATACGAGTTATTTAGCTTGACTTCGTTTGTACTTGGGGCCTGGGCTCGACTGCCCTTACCTTGTGCGAAACTTTACATATTTACATTCGAGATCGCGAAACGAAAAAGGGTACAGATTCGAAAGAAAGAAAGAAACGAAAGAGAGAGAGAGAGAGAGGAAGAGAGGAGAGAGAGAGAGAGAAAGAAAAAAAATTGGGGAAAACGTGCGTTTTCGCGACTCGTCCGATTTTTTCACGTATTCCTTCGTTTCTTTTTTCCGCGCCTCTCGAACGTCTCTCGGTATAATTCGCGGAGAGAGAAAGAGAGGAGAGCTCGGGTCTCGCGATCTACGTTAGAACGAGAGTGGTGGGCTGCGTCCTGAGCTGTTGATCGTTCACGATTCATGTGTACTCCGATCGCCAACCGGTCTGAAAACAGTCAAACAAGAACAACCATGGTCGTTTCTCTCCTCTCAGAACCACTCCCCTTTCCGCGAGGGGGTGAGTCGACGATCATTAAACTCAGATCAAATTAAATTCATCAAATTTATACATACATTCTATCCTCTTTGCAAAACTTTTGTCGTGCAATTTACCTTATCCTAACTTTACGTCCTAACTTTATGAAAAATTTATAAAAAAAAAAAAAAAAAAAAAAAAAAANAAAAAAACTTTAAACCCCCTGAAGAAATTCACATTGGGACATCTAAAAATCACCCCTCGATACGAACATGTAACAATTCCTAAAACAAACCGACTCACCCTTATCACTCCCTCGCGGGATAATTTCATTCAAGTTTCAATAACTTGGGTATGAGAGGGTTGGTTAAATCACTGGACTCACCATCGCGTTCGTCGTGGCTGCCAACTGGAGACCCTGAAGACTCGTCATGTGATGGGAATGGGAGTGCGAGTGCGAGTGGGGGTGGATGGGTGGCGGCGCAGGGGGCGCGAATCCCTGGTGAAGCCCACCCGCTACCCCCACCCCCGTGTGATACATGTAGTGCTGCATCGCTGGATGCATCGTGTGATGATGCTGCGACGTACCTGTAATCATCATTACTCATTCTTCCTATTTTTCTCCCCAATATATTCTTTTCGTTCTTTAAAATAAATTTCTCCTCTCACGACTCGCGTAACAAGCGTAACTGATAGATTGGAAAGGACGTCGAAAATTCGTATCGATAATTAATTATGCATTCGTAAGTAGTCGGGGTCAATTATTAACGAAGTTATAACAAGAAAGACGATGAATCGTGTAAATCGATTCTTTAGAAAAAAACTCGGCGTCAATTCGAGAAAACGAAAATTGCAAAAGAACACGTTATCGTTAAAAAATTATCAAAGTCGAATAATTATTTCCGATTCTTTGTGAGCGACAACAACACTGTATCGATGTAACCGATTACATCGTAATCGTACGACAGAGATAAAGATACACAGAATTGGAGCGCTTGGAAAAAAAATTTCGGGACTTACTCATGGGTGAGCCGAAGCCTGAGTGGAAGGGTTTGTTGTCGAGGTCGAGGTGGCCGCTGGCTTTGATCATATCACCCATCACGCCACCAAGCCCCAGACAACCGCCAGCCTTCTTCTTCTTGCTCTTCGACGACAGTTTCCTGTTCCTCGTCTGGATGCCCTCCTTCTTCATCGTGAGCGGCCGATTCACCTGCAAGAGTCGTAGCCAACAATTCGTTGAGTCGATCGGTTTTAATCTAAACGTGGCTTCCGGATTCGGAGAGGAACACGCCTCTGCCGTGCGAATGACGTACTAAACCCGGGGAGGGGGCGAGAAAAGGGGATCGCCGGGTTAATCACCGCGCTTCAACGCGTAATTAAGCGATTCTTGTACGCGCATACATTCTCGTGTTAATTCTCGTGCAAACACACTATCCAGCCAAGGTGGAAAAATCACGTAACGCGTTGAAAGAAGAAACGTGTTGGGAGGGAAAGAGGGAGGAGAGTTTTTCTCCCATGACCGGTAATTTTCGTCTAGACGCGGTGTTTCCCATTTCTTTATCGAGACACTTTATCGTAGCTTTTATAACAGTCGAATAAGTGCAGCGACTCCCCCCTCCTCTCTCCCTCCCGTGCAATTACGCAAAAATGTGTTTTTAATCCTTGGGTAAAAGATTCAGTTAGTCGATTATATTATTACATGTTTCTCAACTGAGGGAGAGAGAGAGAGAGAGAGAGAGAGAGAGAGAGAGAGAGAAATAGGATCTAAACGAGGATATTCACAATGAATTATCTCATTAGAAATAAAAATTTTTTCGCCTCCACAATGAATTTCGTTCGAAAATCATCCTCCTTGAAACTTTACTTATTCACGATCCATAAATAATAGCAATATCCTCATCGCTTACTTAACCACTCTCGATCAACCGCACTGTTACAAAAATTACTTTTAGCGTGCACTATGGTTAAGATTTAGATCGGCTCTATCCTCATCCTCCATGGAAAAAAACATTTTATCCGAGAAAACCACGCCAATATCACCGAACGTTTCAACAAATATAAAATCTTTCTTACAATTATACATACATACATATATAATTTTCACGTGAATGAATACAAAAAAACTGGAGGCCCGTATCTACCTATCCCGTTCAAAAATCAACTGGACGCCAGCGAAATGCGACTCGAGCGGACGGGCCGCCGCCGCACACGACGACGCGCGCGCGCGACACACGATTCTCGCGTAATCCGGCAATTTCGAGCAATCGCGTGATTCCGAAAAGAGTCGTTGACCGTCTGGGGCTTGGGTGTCGCGGGAGAACGAGATAAAGAAGGCTGGAAACAAAGAGGAGACGGGCGGCGGCAGCGGCGGCGGGGGAGGGGGAGGGGGGAGGAGGGGTGGAGGACGAGGGAGGATGATGGCTCGGCCGCCACCTCCGGAGAGGCCCTCCTCGCGTCCGTCGTTCGCTTATCCCGCAATACCGGGAACCTTTTCCTTAAGTTGGCAGTTGCGTCACGTCGCGGCAACTACAAAGCGCTCCGCCGCCTCCTCCCCCTCCCCCTCCTCCTCCCTGTCCCCCCCCCGACCCGTGCATTTCCTTCCACGCCGCAACGATGCGGCACACCACACTTGCATACCTAGTTATTTCGTACTTAAAGCATTGCACGCGCATCGCGCGCGCGCGCGCGCATAATTGGTCCTGCGTCGCGAAAACGCACACGAGTGTCGCGAGCCGCCGCTACGCGGCGCCCCTGTGTTATTGCCGATCAATGCCTTCTTCCACACACTCGCGCACGCATATAGGCGGATTTTATTTAGCTGTTGTTCCTCGTATTTCCGTCGAAATTGTGATTTTCGACGATCGACGCGATCGTTGTATTTGATTGAAAATCGAAATTAAGGAGAAGCGAGAATTCTACGTTGAAGAGTAGTCGAGGAGTATTCAGGTATTGTTTTTTTCATGGAATATTGATTATTATCGTGAGATTTGTGTAGAAATGTTGTCGAAGAAATTAAGAAGAATTGAAAAACGATTCTACGTTGAAGAGTATCCGAGGAGTATTTGATATTATTTTTTTCATGGAATATTGATTATCGTGAGATTTGTGTAGAAGAATTGTCGAAGAGTTGTCGAAAAGTTGTCGAAGAAATTAAGAAGAATCTAAGAGAATTCTATGTTGAAGAATATCCGAGGAGTATTCGATATTGTTTTTTTCTTGGAACATTGGTTATCGTGAGATTTATTGTCGAAGAAATTAAGGAGAATCGAGAAACGATTCTACGTTGAAGAGTAGTCGAGGAGNCTATGTTGAAGAATATCCGAAAAGTATTCGATATTGTTTTTTTCTTGGAACATTGGTTATCGTGAGATTTATTGTCGAAGAAATTAAGGAGAATCGAGAAACGATTCTACGTTGAAGAGTAGTCGAGGAGTATTCGGTATTGTTTTTTTCATGGAATATTGATTATTATCGTGAGATTTGTGTAGAAATATTGTCGAAAAGTTGTCGAAAAGTTGTCAAAGAAATTAAGAAGAATCTAAGAGAATTCTATGTTGAAGAATATCCGAGGAGTATTCGATATTGTTTTTTTCTTGGAACATTGGTTATCGTGAGATTTATTGTCGAAGAAATTAAAGAGAATCGAAAAATGATTCTACGTTGAAGAGTATTCGAGAAAGTATTGTGTTTTTCATGGAACATTGATAATCGTGATATTTGTGTAGAAGAGTTGTCGAAGAGTTGTCGAAAAGTTGTTGAAGAAATTAAAGAGAATTGAAAAATGATTTTACGTTGAAGAGTTGTAGAAGAGTTATCGAAAAAAATTAATAAGAATTCTACGTTGAAGAATAATCGAAAAAATTAAGGAAAATCGAGAATTCTACGTTGAAGAGTAGTCGAGGAGATTCATGTAAGATTATCGTGGGATTCATGTAAGAGTTATCGAAAAAAATTAACGAGAATTCTACGTTGAAGAGTAGTCGAAGAGTTATCTTGAGATTTGTGTAGAAGAATTGTCGAAGAAATTAAGGAAAATTGAAAATTCTACATTGAAGAGTACTCGAACAGCTATCGTCAGATTTGTATAGAAAAGTTGTCGAAGAAATTAAGGAAAATCGAGAATGTTACGTCGAAGAATTATCGTGATATTTGTGTAGAAGAGTTGTCGAAGAAATTATGGAAAATTGAAAATTCTACGTTGAAGAGTAGTCAAAGAATTATCGTAAGATTTGTGTAGAAGAATTGTCGAAGAAATTAACGAGAATCGAGAATTCTACGTTGAAGAGTCGAGAAGTTATCGTAAGATTTGTGTAGAAGAGTTGTCGTCGAAGAAATATAAATAGGATCGATACACACGTTTTATAATAAGCGAATATTTGCCCACTCGATATTAAGATTAATTATTCAGATAGCATTTCCTATGATAACTACGAAACGCTTAGATACATACTGATCGAGTAATGAAAAACCCGCTCGGCATCGGTGCAACATATTAATAATATATCTTTGTAGCCAATGAAATGACAACAGCGGTTGAAAATTCTGATGAATTTTCTCCTGTCTCGTGTCTATATCTTGAAAAGAATTTTTAGAATCAGTCGAATGGTATCATTGAAATTTGATTCACATTTATCTCAATCTATCATTACATATATATATATATATATATATATATATATGTACGATTAACTAAACATCAAACAGATTAAACATCCTCTTCTTAAAAAAGAATATCAATAGAAACTTGAAAAGAACAAAAAGAGAGAGAGAGAGAGAGAAACCATAATTGCCACGACAATTGTAAATAAAAAACTTTGCTTCCTTTGCCAAATCTTCCATTCAACCGATTCCATCCACGATCAATCTACACGATACGACAACCGTGACGACAAGAGGGCCGCAAGAGGGGTGGGTCGAAAACGCAGTATTTTACAGGATCGACGGATGAAGCTTAATGAGCGAGCAAGAGGGAGCGACGTAACGGCAGCAGCAGAAAGAGCAGGGAGGGTGGACGACGAAAGAAGAGAGCTTCGAACCGATTTGAATACAATACGCAGCGGCTTTAATAGGAACCGAGCGACGAAACCGATCGCGAGGTGCAAACAAAAGAGAGGCGGTGGAGGGAGCGAGATGGGTCGAGGGGAAGGAAGGTGTATAAAGAGAGAGAGAGAGAGAGAAGGAGAGAGCCATCCGCGGAGATTCGAAATGCAGATTGATGTGGTCACACACGATGCAACCGCACACCGATCGAATACGAAATCGCGCCAAGAAGAGCCTGCGCCCGCGGGTGGGGTCAATGAATGAAAGATCGAGAGGGGAGGCTCGGTCGAATTTCCACGCCGATCCCCCCCTCCCGTTCGTTCCACGAATTTCCAATTCCCCGTTGATCGAGAAACGTGAGAAAACAACATGGGCGAAACGAGGCGTTGGAACGTGTTACGTGTCGCGAGATAATCGAATCGATCATTTCGAAATAATTTATCGAAAATAGTAGTAAATTACGAAAGATAATTATTGTGAGAAATTATTTGTAAATCAATTTTAAAAAATTAAAAAATTCAAAAAGATTTTCACTAACGCGATATTCAAAGGTTTTAAAGAAGAATTAAAAATTCGAGAATCGGAAGATTTCGAGTCGAAGAATCGCGTATCATCTTTCGAAGGAAAAAAAGGCGAAATTATTTACAAATGAATTTTAAAAAATTCAAAAAGATTTTCACTAATGCGATATTCAAAGGTTTTAAAGAATTAAAAATTCGAGAATCGGAACATTTCGAATCGAAGAATCGCGTATCATCTTTCGAAAGAAAGAAAGGAAGAAAATTATTGTGCGAAATTATTTACAAATCAATTTTAAAAAATTATAAAATTCAAAAAGATTTTCACTAACACGATATTCAAAGGATATTTAAAGATCGAAGAATTAAAAATTCGAGAATCGGAAGATTTCGAGTCGAAGAATCGCATATCATCTTTCGAAAGAAAGAAAGGAAGAAAATTATTGTGAGAAATTATTTGTAAATCAATTTTAAAAAATTATAAAATTCAAAAAGATTTTCACTAACGCGATATTCAAAGGTTTTAAAGATCGAAGAATTAAAAATTCTAAAATCGAAAAGACTTCGAAGAATCGACCGTGTATCATCTTTCGAAAGAAAGAAAGGAAGAAAATTATTGTGCGAAATTATTTACAAATCAATTTTAAAAAAT